GTAACGTTAATACCCCTTTTAGGAAAGTACTAACTTTTCAACTGGTACCATATCTTCGGGATTTCGTAGTGGCACCAATTACAGTAACTCCTCGTCGCAGCAATCAATGGGTTTACAGCAGCAGCAACAACAACAACAACAACAACAACAACAACAACAACAAGAAATAGTGGCAGCTCACCCAAATATACCTATACGCAAACTTAACATACCTGGCGTTGGTATCGCCACAGAAGTATGTAGTTAACAATAGTTAATAATATTTCTTATAATTTTTTTCGATGTTACAGCTTTCGCATGGCATTATCCAAGTGCAATTCCCGGACGGTTCTCATGTCTCAGTGATACCCGCAAATCAGGGCGGTGGCATTACTTTTACACAAACAAATGGTTCGTCCACGCATTTTACCCCACAAGACGACCTGCCAATCGTGGTAAGAGAAAAATTAGCACAATTGCCACAGGTGGAGCGGCAATTGAAGCGTGCGCCGCTTCTGCGCTCAAACGGGCATTTTATGCAATCCAAACAGTCGCATAACGGTCAATATGCCGCATACGAAAGAAATCAAGTATTGACCACACCACGCTCTACACATACAGTGGGCACACCGCAACAACATGCTATGAAATATTTTCGTTAGTGCCCTTAGCTATGTATTTAACGCGTGCTCTTTGAATTTTCGAGCGAGCGGTTTCTTCTTTCTAAAAATATTTTATTTGTAAATTSTTTTACAAACGAAAATTATTTTTTATAAAAACGTTATTGTTCACACCTGAATGCAATAAATATTTGTATATTTAGTATATCTGAATTGAATTAAAGCCGAAATATATAAAATGTACGTTTGTTCTTTGTGTGCGTTACACAATAAAGTCCCAATTATTTTTGCTGCGAACTAGAAAACAATCGTATTAACTAACGCATTTAGCGAAGTTATTTTTGTAATCGTACAAATTGTTGATAAGTAAGTATAAAGCTCAATAGCACATATACAGAAAGGTTTACCTTTTAAGCTTTCATATGCCCAGACAATGCTTAGCTTAGCAGATACACAAGCATACAAACGTAGTTTAAGCGGTATATTTAGCTTAAACATACATATAAAACTAGCCTATATCGTTTATCCTTAATGCAAGTTTATTACAAGTAATTATTTTACAATTTCTCCTTAATACATACACATATGTATATTTCATTATTAGTTTCGTATATTTGCTTAATGTAATAATATTCATTTAATGTGTACATTCGTTTTCCTGTTAAATTATATTTAGTAAGTTTTAACTATATGCACTTAAATTGGTAATCCTTGTAGTCTTAAGAGCTACTGAAATAAAATTACACAAATTTTGAAAACATAAAAAGGCCTGTATTATTTACTTTAATTGGTATTGCATATATTGGTAATATTTTGGACAATACTATTCCTCGATCATATTGTAGGTTTAGTATACATACAATATTTGCCTATATATTGTTTAATTTTTATATTTTGCTTTATATTTTTTAATTAATTAATTTTTTTTATATTTCATTTTTTATTTTTTTATAATCTAATTTTTTTTATTTCAATTATAAGGTAATATTTTGATACTGAAATA